AAATGGCCCTTTCGATGAAAAATGACTCACTCACTAATATCACATTGAAAAACAAATGAATCTAAATAGCACATAAAAGATATATAATAAACAAAAAACAGACAAAAACAACAATACAAATATAACTTCACAATGAAGATTTTAAAAAATCCGGTAACCAATAACTCACCTATGTCTGAATTCCTGCATCTTTTAAGGACGAAATGGACAAAGCAATAAGGCAAGCAGGCCCAGAACAAAGCAGTGCAAGGGGAAGGCAGCCAGAACAAGGCAGGTTAAGAAGCAGCAGGAGAACAGCAGCAAAGGAAGCCAGGCAGAACAGCAGGCAAGGAAAAAGCAAAGGGGGGGGCCAAAAAGAACAGTAGCATGGAAGCAGGCAAGAAACAGCAGGCAAGGAAGCATGCAGAAACAGCGAGGCAAGGAAAGCAGGCCAGGAAACAGCAGCTAAGGAACAGCCAAGAACAGCAGGCAAGGGAAGCAGACAGAACAGCAGGGTAAAGGAAGCAGCAAGGAACAGGCCCAAGAACAGCACGGCAAGGAAGCAGGCAGGAACAGTAGGCAACGGAGGAAGGAAGCAGGGCAGAAAGCAAGCAAGGAAGCAGGACAAGGACGGCAGGCAGAACAGCAAGGCAAGGAGGGCAAGGCAGAAACAAGCAGGCAAGGAAGCAGGCAGAACAGCAGGCAAGGAAGCAGGCAGAACAGCAGGCAAGGAAGCAGGCAGAACAGCCAAAAGGCAGGCAAGGAGCCAGAACAGCAGGCAAGGAAGCAGGCAGAACAGCAGCAGCCAAGGAAGCAGGCAGAACAGCAGAGGTAAGGAAGCAGGCAACAGGAACAAGCAGGCAAGGAAGCAGGCAGAACAGCAGGCAAGGAAGCAGGCAGGCAGAACAGCAGGCAAGGCAGCAGGCAGAACAGCAGGCAAGGAGCAAGCAAGCCAGAAACAGCAGGCAAGCAGAGGCAGGCAAGGAAGCAGGCAGAACAGGCAGGCAAGGAGCAGGCGGCAGAACAGCAGGCAAGAGTCAAAGCAGGCAGAACAGCAGGCAAGGAAGCAAGGCAGGCAAGGAGAAGCAGGCCCAGAACAGGCAGCAGGGCAGAACAGCAGGCAAGGAAGCAGGCAGAACAGCAGGGTAAGCGGAAGCAAGCAGACAGCAGGCAGAACAGCAGGCAAGGAAGCAGGCAGAAAGCAGGCAAGGGAGCAACAGGCAGAACAGCAGGCCAAGGAAGCAGGCAGAACAGCAGGCAGACAGCAGGCAGGAGGCAGCAGAACAGCAGGCAAGGAGCAGGCAGAACAGCAGGCAAGGAAGCAGGCAAACAGCAGCAAGAAGCAGGCAGAACAGCAGCAAGAAGCAGGCAGAAACAGCAGGAAGGCAGGAAAGCAAAGCAAGGCAGCAGAAAGAACAGCAGGCAAGGAAGCAGGCAGAACAGCAGGCAAGGAAGCAGGCAGAACAGCAGGTAAGGAAGCAGGCAGAACAGCAGGCAAGGAAGGAAGCAGGCAGAACAGCAGGTAAGGAAGCAAGCAGAACAGCAGGCAAGGAGTCAAGCAGGCAGAACAGCAGGAAAGGAAGCAAGCAGAACAGCAGGCAAGGAAGCAGGCAGAACAGCAGGCAAGGAGTCAAGCAGGCAGAACAGCAGGCAAGGAAGCAGGCAGAACAGCGGCAAGGAGTCAAGCAGGGTAAGGAAGCAGGCAGAAACAAAGTAGGCAAGAAAGCAAGCAGAACAGTAGGCAAGGAACAAGCAGAACAGTAGGTAATGAAGCAGGCCAGAACACAGGCAAGGCAGGCAGGCAGAAAGCAGAACAGCAGGCAAGGGAGCAGGCAGAAGCAGCAGGCAGGAAAGCAGGCAGAAGCAGGCAGAGCAGCAGGCAAGCAGCAGAACAGCAGGCAAGGAAGCAAGCAGAACAGCAGGCAAGGAAGCAGGCAGAACAGCAGGAAGCAGGCAGAACAAAAGGCAGCAGGCAGAACAGGCAGGAAGCAGGCAGAACAGCCAAGGAGTCAAGCAAGGCAGAACAGCAGGCAGCAAGCAGAACAGCAGGCAAGGAAGCAGGCAGAACAGCAGGCAAGGAAGCAGGCAGAGCAGCAGGTAAGGAAGCAGGCAGAACAGCAGGCAAGGAGCAAGCAGGAAGGGACGCAGGCAGAACAGCAGGCAAGGAAGCAAGCAGAACAGCAGGCAAGGAAGCAAGCAGAACAGCAGGAAGAAGCAGGCAGAACAGCAGGCAAGGGAAGCAGCAGAACAGCAGGCAGGAAGCAGGCAGAACAGCAGGCAAAGGAAAGCAGGCAGAGAACAGCAGGTAAGGAAGCAGGCAGAACAAAGCAGGCAAGGAAGCAGGCAGAACAGGCAGGCAAGGAAGCAAGCAGGAACAGCAGGCAAGGAAAGGCAGCAGCAGAACAGCAGGCAAGGAAGCAGGCAGAACAGCAGGCAAGGGAAGGCAGGCAGAAGCAGGCAAGGAAGCAGGCAGAACAGTAAGGAAGCAGGCAGAACAGCAGGCAAGGAAGCAGGCAGAACAGCAGCAGGCAAGAAGCAGGCAGAAAGCAAGCAGGCAAGGAGCAGGCAAGGCAAGGCAGAGCAGCAGGGTAGGGAAGCAGGCAGAACAGCAGGCAAGGAAGCAGCGCAGAACAGCAGGCAAAAAGCAAGAGCAGCAGGGCAAGGAAGCAGGCAGAACAGCAGGCAAGGAGAGCAGGTAAGGAAGCAGGCAGAACAGTAGGCAAGGAAGCAGCAGAACAAGCAAAGGAAGCAGGCAGAACAGCAGGCAAGGAAGCAGGCAGAACAGCAGGCAAGGAAGCAGGCAGAACAGCAGGCAAGGAAGCAGGCAGAACAGCAGGCAAGGAAGCAAGCAGAACAGCAGGCAAGGAAGCAGGTAGAATAGCAGGCAAGCAGTGAAGCAGCCAGCGATTCCCTTCCTCTCACGCAGGACAGACACTCCTGCTTCTGCTTGTGTGATGCCTTAGGAGATCCTGTGCAAGAATAAAGTTGCAAGTTGCAAATAAGAGAGGGAAAAAATCCAATGTTGTTTGAAATTGATGCAGGATGGAAAATTGAAGATTAATGGATTAATGGTTGTATTTCACACAGACAGTGACACATACACATGAAAGTTATGATAATAATAAACGTCATCATCATTCATCATAACTATCATTGTTATCATTATAATTATTGTTATTATCATTATAATTATCCTTATTATAATCATTATTCTTATTATTATCATAATCATATCAATATTACATTTATCATTGATATCATTATTGCTATTGTCATTACCATCATTATTACTATTATTATTATCATTATATTATTATCATTACTATTATCCTTATTCCAAATCATAACTGTTATTATCATTTATTACTATCATCATTGTTATTATCTTTATTATCATTATCATTACTAACAATATTATCATCAATATCATACCATCATCAACATCAACACCATTACCATCATCAACATCACAACCACATCACAACCCTCACCATCACAACATTCACCATCAAAAACATCAATTTAGAACAAAATTCTCACCTACATGTGTATTAAGCGTCGCTTAATGTTTTCCTCAGGTGAGAAAGTTAGCGATGTGTAGAGTGTGTTGGGGGCGGGGGTGGTGATGTAGTGTGGTGGGAGTGGGGTAGGACGGGTGAGGTGGTGAAATGAAATGGGGTAGTGTGGTGTGTGATAGTGGTGTGGAGTGGGGTTTAGTGCGGTTGGATGGGGTTGGGTGTAGTGTGGTGTGGTCTGAGGGGGTTTTGTGTGGTTGGATGTGGTGAAATGTGGTATGTAGTGGTTGTGTGTCATAGTGTGTGGAATGTTTTTTTTGTGTGTTGGATGTGGTGAAATGCGGTGTATAGTGGTGTGTCATAGTGTGTTTGTTGGTTGGGTTTTGTGTTGTCGAAATATGTGGTTGGGTGTAGTGTGATGTGAAATGTGGTGTAGTTCGGTGTGTAATAGTGTGGTGTGGACTGGTTGGGTTCTGTGTGGTTGGCTGTGGTTGGATGTAGTGTGGTGTGAAATAGTGTAGTGTGGTTGGTCTGTATGGTGGGGTGTGGTGGAGTATGGTGGAATGTGGGGTGATGTGGTGGTCGGACAGGATGTGATGTGGTGGATTATGATGTGTTGTATGTTGCTATGTGGAATATGTCATTATCAGCTAAACATCTAGGTCGTCATAGATATATTTTGAAATCATATACAACAACGTTAAAGTATGGTGCCCATTTCATTAAATGAATTTTAACGATACTGAAATACTAAAATATAACATACCCTATTATGCCCGATTCAATTAATCATTCTGCCTTTCCATTTTTACTAATGATCTGATATTTATTTCGAAATTCTTAGCAACATACGTGTAATTATACAGGAAAACTAAATAATTGCAACGTATATTTTCTGAACACGATTTCTCGTTTATAGAATTATTCAAATATAGATAGCAGTCTCTTGCATATAAAAAAGAAAGATTTGAACGCATTTGATTGCTAATTCTGTAATTCTACAAATTTGCATTCACTCTACACCAACTAATCATGTCACTTATAAAAGAAAATTTATTACCTTGTTTTCCGCTAGAAATTCTATATGATTATATGTCAAATAAGAAAATAAAAAATAAAAAAAAATAATAAATTCTAAAATTTTGTTCCCGCTTTGTCTCTCTCTGTCTCTCTTTCTCTCTCACTCTCTCTTTCTCTCTCACTCTCTCTTTTATTTTCTCTCTCTCTCTGTCTTCTCTCTCTCTCTCGTCTCTCTCTCTCTCCTCCTCTCTCTCTCTCTCTCTCTCTCTCTCTCTCTCTCTTCTCTCTCTCTTCTCTCTCTCTCTCTCTCTCTCTCTCTCTCTCTTCTCTCTCTTCACTTCCTCTGTCTCTCTCTCTCCCCCTCTCATATAGATAGATAGATAGATAGATAGATAGATAGATAGATAGATAGATAGATAGATAGATAGATAGATAGATAGATAGATTGATAGATAGATATAGATATGTATATTATATTAATCATTTTATTTATATATTATTATTTTATTCTATCTTTTTCAATCTTCGACATTCTCATTGCATTTAATTTCCTTCCATGTTATAAAGAGAGAAAATAGGTGGCAGGTTTGCCATCCTTTAAAAGCCAACTCTCTCTCTTTTCAAAAATGAATGTTGCATGAGGCTTTGCGTGCGTCACTGTGGATAATGATGAGTTGTATTGAAATGCATATATGGCAGAGTACCTCACGGATTTAATGAATGGTATGATTTTTTTTTTTTGTTTTCTTTTTATTTATACATTTATTGTATGCTCGCTCATGGTGAATGGTATGTATATATATTTTTTTCTCATAATTTTCCCCCTTATTTCTTAACTTTATGTATACATATTTATTTTACTTTATTTTTTTATTTCTTCTTATTATTTCTTTTAAAGAAAATTATTTTGCGTAAATTCAGCTTTGACTAAAATGTCTTTGTGTGTTGAACAGTACTATCTATAATTTTGATGTTGTTCGTTTCATGCACATTCAGAATCTTAGAGCTATAATATGATACAATAATCCAATTCAGTCCTATATAGCGTTTGGAAATACTTGAACTCGACAATTTCAGGCGAGTAAACGTTTTAACTGATACACCAGAAACACTTTACACATCTCTTTGGGCTTGACTGAAAGCTAAAGGAAAGTCACACTCTTACTGAAAAGGAAAAACTGGCAACCTCAGGTTCAAAAGTACTCCGAATCGTCAAGTTTCTTTTGAGAGAGAGAGAGAAAAAAAGTAAATAGATGTCATATGTGAAGTTTTGAAAATACCAAACATATATAATCATAGATATTGAGTGTCGGGTGAATAGAGAGAGTAAGAGAGAGAGAGAGAGGAGAGAGAGAGAGAGAGAGAGAGAGAGAGAGAGAGAGAGAGAGAGAGAGAGAGAAGAGAGAGAGAGAGAGAGAGAGAGAGAGAGAGACGAGAGAAGAGAGAGAGAGAGAGAGAGAGAGAGAGAGAGAGAGAGAGAGAGAGAGAGAGAGAGAGAGAGAGAGAGAGGAGAGAGAGAGAGAGAAGAGAGAGAGAGAGAAGAGAGAGAGAGAAAGAGAGAGAGAGAGAGAGAGAGAAAGAGAGAGAGAAAGAGAGAGAGAGAGAGAGAGAGAGAGAGAGAGAGAGAGAGAGAGAGAGAGCAGAGAGAGAGAGAGAGAGAGAGGAGAGCGGTTAGTGAATCTCCAGAGACCAGGGTTGAGTTGCCAGTGTGTTTATTTCCTGAGATTGGACGCAAAATAATCATGTGTATAATCTGTCTGACTGTCTTTCTTATATATCAATGTGTCTATCATTCAATCAATTTCCCATCAATTTCCTTGTATTTGTAGGTGCATTTCCCAACTATGTATGATCATATGTAAAACATATATAGAGAAATATGTTTCATTTTATATTTCCTGTACGTATGTCATCTTGCCTATATATCTTCTCTCTTCATCTCTCTCATTTTCATTTATTTATCTTTTTAAAATATGTTATAGATGAAATTTAATACATTTCACCTTTTAAACAGCTTTTAGATACAATATGTAACTATAACCAAGATTAATCATTCTTCAATTATTTATCACTATCGACTTATTTCGCGTGACTTCACTTTCGAAAAGACTGAATGTTGGAAAAAAATACATTTATCTTTCATCTTTTATTTGAAAAAAAAAAGTTATTTCGCGGACTTCACTTTCGAAAAGACTGAATGTTGGAAAAATACATTTATCTTTCATCCTTATTCGAAAAAAAAAGTTATTTCGCTTGACTTCACTTTCGAAAAGACTGAATGTTGGAAAAAAAATATTTATCTTTCATCCTTTATTCGAAAAAAAAGTTATTTCGCGTGACTTCACTTTCGAAAAGACTGAATGTTGGAAAAAAATACATTTATCTTTCATCCTTTATTCGAAAAAAAGAGATTTTCTCGCGACTTCACTTTCGAAAAGACTGAATGTTGGAAAAAAATACATTTATCTTTCATCCTTTATTCGAAAAAAAAAGTTATTTCGCGCGACTTCACTTTCGAAAAGACTGAATGTTGGAAAAAAAATACATACTTTCATCTTTATTTGAAAAAAAAAGTTATTTTCGCGTGACTTCACTTTCGAAAAGACTGAATGTTGGGAAAAAATATATTTATCTTTCATCCTTATTCGAAAAAAAGAGATTGCTGTGACTTCACTTTCGAAAAGACTGGAATGTTGGAAAAAAAAAAACATTTATCTTTCATCTTTTATTTGAAAAAAAAAAAGAGATTTCGCGTGACTTCACTTTCGAAAAGACTGAATGTTGGAAAAAAATACATTTATCTTTCATCATTTATTCGAAAAAAAAAAAAAATATTTCGCGTGACTTCACTTTCGAAAAGACTGAATGTTGGAAAAAAAAAATACATTTATCTTTCATCCTTTATTCAAAAAAAAAAAAAAAAAAAAGTTATTTCTCGTGACTTCACTTTCGAAAAGACTGAATGTTGGAAAAAAATACATTTATCTTTCATCCTTTATTCGAAAAAAAAAGTTATTTCGCGTGACTTCACTTTCGAAAAGACTGAATGTTGGAAAAAAAAACATTTATCTTTCATCCTTTATTCAAAAAAAAAAAGTTATTTCGCGTGACTTCACTTTCGAAAAGACTGAATGTTGGAAAAAAATACATTTATCTTTCATCTTTTATTTGAAAAAAAAAAAAGTTATTTCGCGTGACTTCACTTTCGAAAAGACTGAATGTTGGAAAAAAATACATTTATCTTTCATCCTTTATTAAAAAAAAAAAGTTATTTCGCGCGACTTCACTTTCGAAAGACTGAATGTTGGAAAAAAAAACATTTATCTTTTATCCTTTTATTCGAAAA